GGCAACTGTGACTCAGTTAGCCGATTCATGACTACTGGCCTTGTTGCCCTCTGTGGATTATCATGCTTCCTGCTCAGCTTCACAGATAGTTTCAGGGACGAGAGTGGAAATGTTTGTCATGGGTTTGCCACAATCCATGGCTTATGGGTCATCGATGGGTCAGACACTCTTCCGCCTGCACTTGCTGAAAAGTATAGACTGCGTTTTATAGATTTCATGCATGCCTTCATGTCAGTATTGGTATTTGCAGCTGTGGCACTGTTTGATCAGAATGTGGTCGGCTGCTTCTACCCAACGCCATCAGTTGACACTCAGGAGATCCTCACAGCAATGCCAGTTGGGATAGGTGTCATATGCAGCATGTTGTTTGTTGTCTTTCCAACCAAGCGCCATGGAATTGGCTTCCCCTTGTCCACAAACTAACCTTTTCCTTATTTCCATGGGATGTAAATGTAGTCCAATCTTTCCATAGTTGTAAAGTTCTTCTAATCCAAACACACTCACCATTTTTTAAATTTTGATCTCTTGTGTGAATCCAAATCATGAGACCATTCTTTGATATTGCTCTATTATCTTAGCCAGATGTAACAAGTTCATGTCACCAAACATCCAGTTGCTGAATTCAATAAAATGTAACATTCGGAAGGGTCATGTATCTAGAAATTAATGATAAAAATAACACTTAATCAATCAGTGCTATATGATTCAGAATTATTGGCAATGGTAGAAACCCAGAGAGAGCATAAGAAAGAACTTATACAAATAAAATAAGAACATGGTACCAAGCAAAGTCTACAAAATGCAGTCACCATGGAAAGTAGGGAGGACATTATATGTTAGTGATAATGCAATCACAGAAAGCTAGACATGCACATGTTAGTCTTTTTTTTTTTTTGAACGGCAAAAAATGGAATTTATTAAAAGCGGGGTACACAAATTATTCCAAACCCATAAACATCCCTAGACATACATATTTTAGGATTTGCTATATTACACGTGGGTAGCGAAAATTAACATCTGCACACTGTATATGCAATATTCATCACAACATACAAATAATGTTCATCATGATTACTTTGTGAAACGATACATTGTTCAAGAGAGATTCAACAATTCACGGTACTCACATTCCCTTACAACGACTTGTCAGATTAATGCAAAGAAACATACAAAAATGGAGTCACACTCATACCCAGGATGCAAAAACATTTGACATTAGCTAAGCAACATGTCTAACATCGAACCTTTCCAGCCAGATAGTTTTGGTACTTCTGTTGAAAGACCAGCTTTCACTGGAATCTTTCAACACAAAATAGAAACCAACAAACCGAGACAGCATGTTATCTAAATTTTAAATTCACATCCTAAGAGCCTTCTGAATTTCTAAATTAAGTGCACACCGCAAGTTTTTGAATTAAATGACAAGATTAAATATCTGGAACAATCAGTTAAGACATGGTATACTTCCCCAGCTACCAGTAAACTGCAAAGAGTCTCTTTTGAATCTGACCAGAAATACACAATCGTAGAACATAAGAAAAATGAAAATATGCATGTCATTAAGAATTTCACATGACAAAAAGAGACCATATTATAACAGGTTATGGGGGAGTCTGGGTAAGAGAAAACCCATACCAGGAGCATCTCCTTAATCATATTGCTTGGTCTTACATTTCAATGTCAGGCTCAGCAATTATTTCAATCCGTCAGGACTCAGCTAGCTTTTTAATCTTCCTCTGATCACAAAATGCGAGTAATACAATCAACGTCCCCTCTTCTGGGGCACATCTGTCGATTACCAGTCATCAACTATTTGAGTAGCTTCTAGGAAGTCTCTTTTCTTATAAAAAAAAAATTGCCCAAGAGAGTCAAAGGTTCCAACATTGATTGAGATACCCCTCGTCCTCATACTTTGATACAATTGAAAAGCTCGATTTAAGCCACCCTTGGTATAAACGCCTGGACCACCATATTATGAATCCTAACACGAATTACTCCAAGTTAGTTGGTTTGGTGAGATTCCTCCAAGAACTATCTCATCGAGAAAGTCAGCAGTCTCCTCAAACTTTCTGATATGGCAGAAGATCTTCACATACAACCTTGCATCTGGTTTCAAGGCTTGAAGCTTCATCCTTTCAAGCATCTCCGTGCTTCTTGGAGCTTCCCTTCATTACATGCAAAAATACCAAAATACCTCCTAACTTTCTAAGTTTGGTTTTAAATTTCCACATATTATAAAGTTGTAAATTTAAGCTCTCAAAGCCCACAGATTGGAAATCTTAAGACCAATTTAACGGTAAAAACCTCACAGTGACTCACCTAGCTAGTTACACTTCGTTAAAAATGCTATGTCACCTCTCCATATAAGTAAATTTTTCCATGCAAGCTTGTAATGACAAAAGGAAATGATTTTTGTACAATATTTTTATCTCATATTTTTATATAATCTGATGTGTCATTTAAATGATTGATTCTTTTAATTCATATGGAATCCATGATATTTAATACATCTACTTATTTAATGATATGTAGAAGTTGTATAAAAATATGATAAAAAAAATTGTCCCTATAGCACTATTTCTATGGCCATGACAAATTAAAAAGCTTATTCATTGTCAAAATTACCTTTTTATCCTCCACTTCTCAAATTCTCACACCTTAGTCTCTTTTTCCTTTGTCAATCTAAAACGGTGGTTTAAGCTAAAAGGAACTTCAAATGGAGATTGAACCCAGATCAAGCTGGATGAGAGGAGAAATGGGTAAGGGGAAATTAAGGTTTTTTTTAGGGTTTTTGCATTTGGATTAAAGTAAGAGGAGGAGAAGAAGAGGTCTCATCTTTCCCCGTTCTCTTCCTCCCCTTTGCCCACCTCCTCCCTGTCCTCCCTCTGTGTCTTTATCTCTTTTTTTTTTTTTTTCAAAAGAACTAAGTTCTTGGGTTCTTTTGGCTCCTCCCTTTCTTCTCTCTTGTCATCTCTTTCTTTCTTTTTCTTTTTCTTTTTTTTTTTTTATACACATGGTAACAAGTGAGAGGGATTGAGAAAACCTTGTTAGATTTTGAAATTTATCATTGAGAAATAAGAAGGGTTGAGGGATTTGTAACAAACGGATTTAACGATTTAATAACACTTGTAAGCTATTGGAAGAGTGATCGAGTAATTTTGTTAGATCTTAAAAAAATCATTCTTGTGGTATAGGATTGGATTTGTGAAAATTTGTAAGAAGGGTTGAATTGTTGAATATGGATAGTATCGACAAAATTATTGTAAATAGTTACCGCTGCATGTGGAAGTTGGAGGAGAGCTTTTAAATCAAAAGCAAACTTTTAAGTAGGCGGTTTAAAGATCGAATTAAGTACAAATTGTGATCGAACCACTATAAGTCCTTATACTTAAGGTTTTTCTTCCCCAAACTTTTAATTTTTTCACTTTGGATTATTTGTTTGCGAATTGTTTGTGAGTGTTCATTATTTTACATTTAAATATGACATAAAATTTTTGAAAACTCAATTCATGACCCCTCTTGAGTTTCCATTATTTGGGCTAATTACATAAAATAATTTATTAAAACATCTAAAATGCATCTCTTCAAGTTTGAAGTTAAAAATATGTGTTATTATTATTATTATTATTATAAAAAATAATAAAATAACTAATTTAACTAATATAAAATATATCATTAATGGTAATTTAACACTTTATTAAAAATAACTAATAACTCTATTACCAAACACTAATTACAAATAATAACAATTATTAACTTTTAATTAGACCCCATCGGTTACTAATCATCAGCTATGAAAAAAACGAAGGCTCGCTGAGCCTCGCCTGATCGTTGATCCAAACAACCCAGATTGCAGCGAACCTGGATGATCAAGCCCGGAATTGTCAAAGGCCAGATTTAAAAGCCCAGAAGCAATGCCCAGACTTAAAGCCCAAAGATAAAGCGAATACGCTGGCAAAGGCAATTCTTTTTGCTTTCAAGTTTCTACACCAAAACCACTGGTGAATGGTGTTGGAAAAATAGAATTTGATACAGGAAAATTCAGCGAAATACTACATTTTTTTTCTTCTTCTGTTGTTCTGAATTTGAATATGGCTGTATATTACAGAGGACAGTTATCCCCTTTTCCAGGTCCTCCTTTACGTGCCTCAAAATTTGAAATTAATCAATCGAAAAAAAGAAAAAGAAAAAGGAATTTAGAAAAAGGCCAGACAAAAAAATCTACCGAATTAGTTAAGGATTTTATAATTTTGGCACAAAAATAATTGTAAATAATGTAATAAACTATGTTGAAAACAGAAAATAGAAAAGGATAACTGCCTAACAGTTCTGATAAGATCATGATCATTTATCATATGACTTTTACATGAATTTCATGTGAATCTCAACGTGAGTTCACATAATGAATAATTTGATCATACCAAGACTGTTAGGTAATCTTAACTTTTTACGATCCTATTGTAATAATATAATTAATTATTATAAGTTCTATTTGATATAATCTATTACTAATTAAATTTAATTGACTATTTATGGTAGAACCTTTTCTCCAATGTTGAGAATGAATATGACGATTTG